AGAGGGCCCCGAGGCTGCCCCTGCCGGGGTGGGGGCGGCTCTCCCAAGACAGGGCCCGCGGCTTAAGCACCGACTGAGCAACACCCCCGCCCCCCAAAAAAAAAAGGCAACACAATCCCTGCAACCAAAAACTGTACAAACAGCCTAAACAACCCCAACCCTTCGCGGGCTACCGGCACATCCGTATACCCCGCTGCCAAAGCCGATTGGCCCGATCCGCCCCGCCTCCGCTACATCTCATTGGTCCAGGCCGGCACGTGATGCTAACGAGTCGCCGGGCGCCAAATTCAAACCGGGGAACGATTTCTGCTGCGAGCGACGGCAGAGCCCGGAAGCGCTGGAGTTGTCGCCTCCCTCCGTACCCCTGCCTGGCCGGGGAGGTGGTGAGTCGCGACCTGCGCCCGGCACCCGCCCCCATCGCAGCCTCCATCTCCCCGGTGACTCCCCGCGGCGGCTGGAAGTAGGGGCTGTTAACCCCGCGAGAGCAGCGCTAAGAGTGTAGGGCCTCTGGGAGAGGAAAACGTCTAGGCCCGGGCCTAGACGGACTTACTGTCGAGCGCGGCAGAGCTGGGTTGGAGTCGGTAAAGAAGGAGCCAGGAGCTCTTTAGCTCTCCCCTCTTACCACCCCTGGGGCCGAGTGTACACAGTGTGTAGGCCGTGGGCTTACGCTGGTGGTAGCAGCTCGAAGCCTTCTTAGGAAGCGGCTTGTTCCTGTCGGGAACGCAACCTTTTGGAGGCTAGCTGGAGGTTACTCTTTTGTCGTTGCCTTACGGGGATTTCTCTTTAAGGGAGTGGAGCAGATTGCAAAGGACCATGTGTGTGCCTCGGTGCTATAACCCGTGTGTAGTGCTGAACGTTTCTATCGGTGGTGTCTGGCTGCTGGGCAGCCCCTGATCACATAGGGCATCAGCTCAGTTTTTTATCTGCCAGACTTTCCGGTTTGTATCTATTGTAGGTGATTCCTACTGAGAATTTTCTTGTTTGCCTCCTGGCCTGGTCAAATCCACCAATGCAAAAAGCCTCTTTGTTATTTGTTTCTATTCTGCCTGCCATCCCTAATGATAAACAATAAGTACAATTTGTGTGTTCTTGTTCTGGTATAGTTTGCTACAAGAGACAGCAGTAACCTAATTCTTGAATGACATGATATTTATAAGTGGTGTTCTCAGAAGTGACACACTGCATCTTACCCAAAAGCAGTATCTCTGAATTTTATCTCCTCCACTTTCTGCTTTATAATCTAAATTGTCTGCTGTCCAAAAGTTTGACATTTAAATTGTATGTTGCCCAGTGATTTATTTATCTGGTTCTTGACAAATCTACAGAAGGATTGACTAAAGCATTTATTTAATATTTATTTTAAAGCATTTAGCTTCTGCTACATTTATTGTGTTCCTTTGTAATGTTCAGGACAATCTCTCCTTCCCTGATCTTAAACCAACTGTTAAATTCCCTTTTCTCTCAGGTTGTATGATCTGCTGGTTACAGCAATGAGATATAAGAATCAGGACTGCTATTTCTATGTTCTAGCTTTTCTCCCCTCAAGCTTGCTGACTGATGTTGGTCAAGTCACTTTACAGCTAAGTCTTAGTCCCTGTTTCTGTAAAGCACATATATCGGGAAGGTACGTATATGTACATTATTATGTACTCTGTGGCTCCTAATTTCTGATGCAAACTATCTACTCTGCAAATATCTCTCCTGTCCTGCTCACACAACGTGTGGATAAAAGAGGTACAGTACTATTTTCCAATAACCTTCCTTATTTCTAACTTTGTAGCAATTGCTGAGAACATATGCACTGTGGGAGGCCTGTGGTAATTTGCTGCACCTTTTCTAGCTGTTCCTGCCCTCTGCACTCTTATGTTGTATCTTTTGTTTTCCAGGGTTTGTTCTTGTCTCTCTCAATGGAGAGTGACTGTATAGATCAATAATGAGGACCAGCCCTCGCAGGCCCTTAATTCTGAAAAGACGGAAACTGACCCTCCCACAGAAGGATGCATCCAGTACTTCAGCAAGAGGTGAGAACAGTGGTCAGGATGAAAAGACTCTTAAGCAGGAGCACAGCCATGAGAACCAACACAACAGCCAACCCAGAGACAAAATGGACTGTGGCCTGCAGAAATTCCCAGTGCAGGAATAAAGATAATTGACCATCCTACCATGCCCAACACACAAGTAGTGGCCATCCCTACAAATGCTGATATCCAGAGCATCATAGAGGCACTGACAGCAAAAGGAAAAGAATGTGGCAACAATGGGCCCAACAAGTTCATTCTCATTAGCAGTTTCAGCAGGTCCAATGCCATCACAGCATCTCCCATCAGAGAAGAAATCCAGTGCAGCAACCAAGGCTGTAGATGAAGAAAGAGAGAAGAATGTTACACAGACAGCTGGTCTTGCAAGAGGGACAACGCTCTGGCATTCAGGAATTGATTCTGTGGTTGGACAGGAACAGGAGAGCAACAGTATGTAATCTTTACCCTTTTTTTTGTCCCAATACATAGACAAAGAGATGTGAAGTGGGCCAATGAGTGTAGTGCTTGGATCTCAGTATGCACAAATGAAAACTATTTTGTTAATTACGAAATAGCTATGGATTTGATTTTAATAATCTATATAGCTATGCATATGTAGTGAAATCTGAAGGATCTTAGTGGATATATTTTTGGTGGAAGAGATGGTATATAAAGGTGTATAGCAAAGCAAAATTTCAGTGCAGGGGAAAAAAGAAGGGCTGGCTTGAGGAAATCAAGTCTAGAAGAACAAAAGACAAAATTTCATTTAGCAAAAGGGTTATGGCTGAATTCAAGACTAATACAGAGTACCCTAGTCGGTGACAAAACATACGGGCCTAGAGCTTTGAAAAAGGGATGATCCCCATTCATTTGATAACTAAGTGGCAAGTCTGTTTCCTCCTTGGCTGTCTCATGAAGCTGCTGAATACATGTTAGAAGTGGGATGGATTTTACTTCGAAGCGCTGCTTGGCTCAGCTATTTTAAGCTGTAAATAGCTTTTGTAGCTTATGTAGCTTTTGGGCTGTAGTAAATCTTATCCCACAGTATAGTACTGTCTGACAGGAACCCATAGACAGCTGCAATAGCTGCATTGCTACAACCAACCTCACCAGAAATAACAAAACTGTGTTAATTTTCATTGCTGCAGTACAAAAACCTGGAGACATCTGAGCTTCTGACTTGGGTCATGTGCTAGGTCTTTCAGTTGGAGTTTGTCACCACCTTCCTTGGCTTCTGCTTACTAGATTCATCCCTTAGCTAAAAATACTTCAATTCCTGAAGTACTGGATCAACATTGTCCTGTTTTGTTTGAGAGCAATAGTCTGGTTTGAATGTTTGTTTTTAAGGCTGCAACTTTTTTCAGAAATCGGGCAGAATCCCATGAAATAAGGAATTCAAGGTTGAATTCTTTCCACAAGAAATGTTAGCATTGTAATACCATCTTGTCCCTATCTTGAGACAGGGATACCTCTTTTAGAACTGTGACTAGTGCCTTCCTTTTAGCGTTTGAGATGAAGGGGAAAGAGGGTTACTTACTCACGAGTAAGCGGGGCTATGGGCTTGTTATCCCAACAGGCAGTGGCGAGACAATGAGCTCTGTGTTGGACAATAGTCTCACTAACATCCAGTGGCTTGGGAAGATGAGATCTGATGGGCTAAGTCCCTGTTCTGTGAAGCAAGACACAGGGAAAGAGAACCAGATACCTCCGCAGGAAAGAATCAAGGTAAGCAGGAGAAGACAAGAGAGTGTGTGCTTTTTATAGGGAAGTAATCCATATGGATCAGAAGACTTGCAAGAACTAGGCATTACCATTTCTAAATAACCTGAGTTTGGCCTTTACTGATTTGAGTAGCAGAACCTGGAGGATCCAGGGATGATCCATGGCCTTTCTTGTCAACTTTGTGAGCACTCATGTATCATTCCTTCTGTCTCTCAGGCTGAAGAAGATTCTGCTGCTGCTATTCCTACTGCTGCCGCCTCCTCCTCATGGCAAGATTCAGTATCAGAACGACCTCCTTACTCGTATATGGCCATGATCCAGTTTGCCATCAACAGCACTGAGAAGAAGCGTATGACTCTGAAGGACATCTATACCTGGATTGAGGATCATTTCCCATATTTTAAACATGTGGCTAAGCCAGGTTGGAAGGTAACAAGCAGGCCCTCAAGTTGCTGTGGGCCACAGGGTGATATTATAAGCTTTCTGGATCAAAATGAAAAGTTGTTCCCCAGCCTGCAGAGCAAGATAGAAATGAATTTAAACACCCCACCCCAAATACCCTCTCATTCCAGATGTTCCCTGTTCCCCTTCTTGTACCCCTTTTATCATTCCACTGAGGTAAGAGGATAGAATGTTTGATCACTGGAGTAAAAATAGGCATCTCAAGAGTAAATAGAATAAGAGATTGATGACAGGTTTGGCTGGGTATGCAGTGAATATAAAGGTCCGTGTTGGACCTTGATTACATTTGGAATGTAATCCCTCTGCCAGGGCAGTCATGTCTGAGGTAGGCCTTACTGTGTTGATAACAAAACTACTGCTTTTCAACCTCCCCCTCACCCATTTCTCCCCAGAACTCCATTCGACACAACCTGTCTCTTCATGATATGTTTGTTCGTGAGACATCTGCTAATGGTAAAATCTCATTCTGGACTATTCACCCTGATGCAAACCGTTGCCTAACGTTGGACCAGGTATTTAAGGTGAGTGCCTCATGCAAAGAAAATGGGACAGGCTATACAGTTCCTAAATGCCATGTTAGTCAGATGCACCTTATTTTAACAGGAAAGTTAAGCTGCTTTGACATCAGCCTTTTTGTAGAAGCTGGATTCAGTCACTTCTCTTGACATATAGATGAGCTCTGTATTTGAAAGAAAAGGTGCTGTGGCTGTGTGTATGAACTAGAGCTTCTGTGAGATGCGTTTATTCTTCAGATGGTGTGCCAAATGTAATAGTGAGCTTGTTCAACTTCTTTCTGTGGGCCTGATTCAAATTCCTAGTGTCTGCTGAAGTCAACCAGGAGTTCCTATGCTGTTTGATTAGGCAGTCATAGGTTGGAATTGCCCTTATCCCAGCTAGGTATTTTAGGAAGTACCATTTTATGGGATAAATGGAGCTTGTGATTCTGGTATAGGTGTGTTTAGATTCTCATCTTTGTTTTCTGCAGTGGGTGGGCAGATTGACTGTTTTCTCGGATTATAAAAGTTTAAAATGTCCCATTTGTTTCCCCTTTGGTTGATAACGTCATCTTATTTTTCTCCCTCTCAATGCCTTGCTGCCACCAGCCACTGGACTTGGGGTCACCAACATCGCCTGAGCACTCTGAATCAGTAAGACTTACCCGCTGGCTCGGGGCTTGGGCTTCCATTCTCCTGCCAGTTACTGAAGGAAAGCACAAGAGGCTCAGGGAGGGGGACTGGGTCACTGCTGCACCTACTCATACAGCTCCGTGCACACTCTTTTTTGGGGAAAGGAGTAAAGCCAAAGGTTAATTGCCTTCAGATGATATGCTCTCTGTACAGCTGGTAGAGCTGTACAGCTTTGAGCAACTAGAAATCTACTGCTGAAGTAGGCTGCAATGGGCACCAACAGCTTCAGAGAACAAGCCCAGACAGAGATTTCTGGTAAAATCCTCATCTCTGTGGCAGCAGTCCCAATCTATTCTGGGGCTCAGATCCAGAGAGAATAGGATCTCTCCCTGTGCCCCTTTTTCATTTTGGAAACCAGCTGCATTGTGACTCTTAGAAGGTTGAAGCTGTTTGTTGTCTCTTGCATTCAGCATTTTTAACAATGACAGATCTGCAAGCGGCCAGTCAAACACTTTTCTGTCACAGCTACAGCCCTGGCCTTCTTTCCATCTGCTTAGACTTCTGATTCCTTTGTTGCCTCTGCTATTTCACTTGAACATCTATCTGGTCTATGGTTTGTATATAGATCCAATATGCAATAAAGCTATCCTGTTCACTTTTCCTCAGGCACTGAGGACACTGAAAACAGGTCAGTTCTACAGTAGAGTCTGCAGCTGGAGCAGCTCTGTCGTGCTGTCTCTTTTTTTCTACACAGCTTTTGGTTGGCAGCTGGCTTTGAGATGGCATGGCTGCAAAAGAGCAAGTGGTACACAGACAGAGCTGGCATGAGTGCTGAGTGCTAACATCTGCTCTCTCAGTATTAGTGCAGCACAGGCTTCTGGATTCTCAGTTCTGAATGAGGCAGCAGAATAAAGATAGGTTCTTCTCTTTAAATCTCTTTCTTTTCTCCTTTGCCTCTTTCTTATTTCACAATGAGTGCAGCAGCAAAAGAGACATCTTCCAGATCCCCAGAAGAACGTGGGAAGCAACAGCAGCAGCAAAACTGAACCCCAGAATGCACGTGAGTGTCTACATCAGCCTACGCCAAAGAGAATTAGCCCCATAAATTTGGGACACTCTCCCAGATTCCATTAGGAATAGAAGTAGAAATCGTTATCCAGGTTTGTCAGCTTTTAGGCTTCCTACTGTCAGGTTTGGAGCTGAGGGCAGTACTGCTATGTCTGAGAGAAGATGTAATGGGGAGATGGAGGAGATTGGGTACTCAAATGGAGTGAGAGCAGAGCTTGCCCCAACTTGAGGGCTAGGATCTGTATGAAGGACTGTGTTCTTGTTCATTGGGTCTTCTGGCTTGCAATTTGTATCCTCAAAATTAGCAGAGAAGGCAGGTGAGCCTATCTCTGATAGGATGTTTATTCTGGGGTATTTAGAAAGACTTCCTGTTAGATGCTTGGATTCCAAGAGGTAGTAGAGGAAGGGCAAGAGGCTAGCGAGTCCATTCTTTTTCCTTCCAGGCCGAAAGATGAAGCCTTTGCTTCCTCGTATCAACTCCTACCTGGTTCCGATCCAGTTTCCTTTGAGTCAGCCTCTTGTCTTGCAGCCTTCTATGAAGGTTCCTCTAGCCATGGCACAGGGAGCATCCCTCAACAGCTCAGAGACTTTCCGGAGCAATAAGCGTGTGCGCATTGCCCCAAAGGTTGGTTTCTTGATTTCTGAGGGGCAGGGGGTGTTGTTGTTTGTTTGGGGTTTTTTTGGTTGGTTGGTTGTTTTTTTCTTTTCTATAGCCCCTGTTCTTCATCTGGTTCCTTTGTGCATCTTTGCTAGGTGCTCTGAAACTCTAAGCTCATACTAAGGAACAGTGACAACCCTTGCTGTCCTTTTCTGTCTCTAGGATGACTACTACCTGCTGGTTGACTTGCTGTAAGGATGTTACTATAATGCACTAGAGGAAGGGGCTCTATGGATCGGTCAAGACAATTTTTCTCTACTGTTTGGGTGTGAAGAAATAAGGATTGGAGAAATAGCTTTGTTCTGCCCCTAAAACATTCATATTTTTGATAGCTCTGAAGAGACACATAACATAGGGAACTTTTTCTGAAAGACTTTTGATTTGCATGCAGCCTCTTCCAAGAGGTTTTCAGTACCTGATGGTTGCTAATTCTGTGGAGTTCCCAGTTATTCTGGGCACAAACAAAACAGCTATTAAACAAGTCTTTATCTTGGCATCTCACTGACTGCTCTGGGATGCTTAGACATTGTAAAGCTTTAACTTTTTCCATCCTGTCTAACCATAATCCTGCTTTCCTTTGTGTGCCTGCTGCTTTATGTTCTCTCCTGCTATGATTTGTCTTTCCCCTGTGCTCTTTTTCTTTTGATAACCTCAATAATTTTTTTTTTCTTTTCCTTTTCCTTGGTTTCTGGGAAAGCTGTCCTCATTCATTCTGTTATTTCACATCTAGATAGTGTAAGGAGGAATCAAAAGGGTTACACTTCTCCAGGAGTATTCAGCTCTCCTTCTGTTGGTACTCCTAGAAGTTCCTTATAGCAGAAGTGCCCTGAAGGACATCACTTCCAGACACTAGGCTAAAAACTTTCCCATGTGATCTGTAGGCTTCTTGGTATCAACTTCACACAGACTTCTATCTGTTGTTATAGTTACTGCTTTCTGAAGATCCTCCTCTTACCTGTTCTCCTGTACTTAAGTGCCAGTCTCTCTTCCTTCCACAATCATCCAGATTTTGTGTGGGTTTGATCCTTGCTTACTGACTGCATATCACTTGTGTTTCTTTGTAGATGTCACCCTCTACAGAAGAGTCATCCGCTTTACCCACGGCTACTGTTAAAGAGGAGAGTCAATGTGATGAAGGTTTATTTTCCCCTACTCATTCCCTAAAGGAGAGCAGCTCCCAGCCTGGTGAAGAATCAGCGTCTTTCCCTGAGAGCATCTGTATAAAGGAGGAAGAAGGCTCTCAACTGGATGACTGGCTGTCCCCATTTGCCTCAACCGTAACAGTAAAGGAAGAGCCAGGCTTGTTCCTCCCAGTCTCATCTACAAAGGAGAAGAAACAATTCACCATACTGAAGTCGCCATCTAAGGGTGTTTCTGACACATTAGTTATAAAGAGGCGGGAAATGGGCAGATCCAGAAGGAAACAACGCCTAGCACTGCCATGCTCAGAAGAACCCGTCCTTGTTTTGCCAGAAAACAATGGCTTTGACCCTTTCCAGTTAGGGGCAGACCGCCCCTTCCTGCAGGAAAGCCAGCCTCTTGAGAATGTATCACAGCTCAGCTGCTCACAGGGGGAGGAGGGGCCCTTTAAAACACCAGTCAAGGAGATATTCAGCAAATTGCCTGTTTCTTCCACTCCCAGTAAAGTCTCAGCAACTACTACCCCCCCACTAGGGGGCCTTGACCCCAGGAAGTCTGTATCCTTAGCCAAAGGAAGTCACGAGCTGGACTTCAGCCCAGTGAGAACCATTCAGTTGCCATTCACACCCCTCCAGGAGAACCAGGACTTGCTGGGTTTTAACAGCACACCCCTTAAAAATCCCCTCTTTGAGTCCCCTCGGGAACTGCTCAATACAGAATCCAGTGACATGGTGCATGCCCCCCTCACGAGCTCTCCGGCTTTTATCCATGAGTCTACTAGGCAATCATCTGTTGAACTGCCAGCTTCTGGGTTTACTGAAAATCGGTCACTCATGGAGGGCCTTATCCTGGACACCATGAATGACAGTCTGAGCAAAATCCTTCTAGATATCAGCTTTCCTGGTCTTGAGGATGAAAACTTAGGAACGGACATTAGTTGGTCTCAGCTCATACCTGAACTGAAGTAAATTGGCCTGAGGACTGACTTTGGCTTGTTCTGATATTACAGAAAGCACTCTTCTCATCTGAGCTCTGTTCATGTAGTCTAAGAAGAAGACTGTCTGCTTTTGATTTAATTCCCACATCCATGAGAACAGAGGGCATTAGACTCCTGCTAAGCTGGGAGACAGGCCCATTGGCTGCTATAAGCTCCCTTTATAAGCTGCAGTAGACTTTATGTGTAACAAGATAGAACCTCTCTAACCTTGTGCTAGAGATGAGAGTCCCTGGGGAGAGGTTATCAAGAGAACATTCTGCGGGAGAAGGATGGACTTCACAAC